AGCAAGCAGAAAGCGGACGCTTTTTAGGGGTTTTCTTCCTGCTCACCTTGACGTTGCCGAGCTTCATCCCGCAGCGATACGTTGCTGCCAGTGAGGCGGTGAGCTGGATGTCCTTGGTCAGCTGACGCCACTTCCTGCAGTCCGGCTTGGTGCACTGAACCTGAAGGGAGCAAGTCAGCAGGGATAACATATCTGAAGATCCTCAGTCCTGCAGGTCAAGCTTGAAAAGTCACATTCAGGCAGCTGGAGGTCAAGTTTTCTTCTGATCCAGAAGCTTTTTCAGCTCTAACTGATTGTGAAGCTCTGAAGTTAATATACTGTAGGTGGAACTAAAGAATTAGGGGAAAATGTGGCTCTGGTCCCTCCTGCTGGGGGGCCATGGAGGTCACCTGGGGGGTTCATGGTGGTTAGGGGGCTCTGATGGGTCGGTAACTCCCTGTCAGAGTGGTTCGGGTCACATATTTGAGAGCTGAATCTGCTGGTTGTTGTTCCTGAAAGTGTTCTGGAAGGAGATGACAGCTTCTGTCTGAGACCAGCACCTCAGGTGAGTCATGGTTTCTCCAGGTTAACAAAGATGGCTTCCTGGACCCCTCTTTCAAACCAGCTGTCTTCCTGGGCCAGAATGTGGATGTTGTCCTCCTCAAACGAGTGTCCTTCAGCCTTCAGGTGAGCAGCTGAGTCCTGTCACCTTCGCTTTTCCCATAATTCTTTAGTTCCACCTACAGTATATTAACCTTAGAGCTCCACCATCTGTTAAAACTGAGGAAGCTTCTTGGATGAGAGGCCAAACGTCTTCTAGAAAACTTCACGTCCAGCTGCCTGAACTGAACTTTGATGTGATGCAACTCGGCTTTGTGAGGGAAACCTCCGGCACGCACCCAGAAGGGCAGCAGCTGGTCTGCCATGAAGGCCTTAAGGCTGGGTTCGCTCTTTCCATTGCTGGTCCACACCTTCTTCCAGGAGGCAAAGGTCTCATAGCCGTCTTTGTGACTGTCGGGGGGGGGGGG